ATTTTCCCAATTTGATTTGATTCTCTATCACAGAATTATCCAAATAAGATTAAGATAAAGATTAAGATTTGGCTACCTCAACATTCATCAAGATTACTGATTTGTTTTTTCTATTGTTTATTCTAACAGATGTGTGTTCAAATTGAATAGTTAAAGAGATAATTGCTTTAATAGGGAATTATTGGTTTCATTTATTTCAACCAGACAAAGTGTGGTGGCCTGCAAGGAGATTCCCTTTGTGATTTAACCAGAATACAGACATTTTTTCTTTTATGGATAATGATTGGTGATTAGTAGCTACAATTGCAACTAAATATTAAAGTTATTCATTTTCTTTGGTGGTTAATATAACTCATCCCAACAGTTTAAATACAAACTTCCTAAGGTATATAAGTTATGATTATCAATTAATAAACACAAATATTAGTCATAATGATTAAAGGCTAATAACTCTAAATCACAACCACTTTATTTTAATTTGCATCTAATTAAAAATAAATTTTATAATTACAATTTCAAATTATAATTATTAATTATATCCAGAATTAAAAAAAACAATTGCACAACTGTATAAAATGTATCAAGGCTAAGGGGCTTTACAGTCTGTATCATCCATCACACAGCTTCACTGCCAGGATTAAACAGCAGGCATCTTGGCTTGCCCTCATTGTAATTTCCCACAAAGAGGAAATACTTACCTACCCAAACTTGGCAATAGGGAAGTGTCGAGCAAGAGTCTAAATTATTTGTATGATAATACAAATATTAATACGACATATTTAACCTAATAGACATGTACTTATCTAAAACCCTTAAAAATCCATCAAGCCAACAAAACAGGTGGAAACTTAAAAGGGAAAAATAAGAAAAAGAAAGCTACACAAAAATTAAATAAAACATTTCCTAAAAAGTCCAATCCAATTCAAAGTTTCTGAACACTCTAAGTCACTTTGAAAATGGGTTTAAATAATATCTGGATTATCATCTGTAAACATCAGTTTTTAAATATTGCTTCAGACTTTGATGCAATATTTGCATAAACATACAGAAACATTTTCAAAATTTCAGTTGCACTAACCTACATATTTCAATAAGATAAACTAAAATATCCTCTCACTCATAAAAATAACAGAATTTCTTTGCTATTGATACATCTAAAAACAAATAATCAGAGAGGTGCTATCAAAGTAATTCATTCAATTCATTACTATCAGATAATCCCATCATGACTGGCATGATGTTTTTCTTTCGCTAAAAGAGATATATTTTACATGTATATAAATAAGTAAATCTATTGCTGTAATTATAAATCTTCTCTAATTGCTGCTCTCCTTGTAAGTTTAGGTTTATCAACTACCCATTTTTTTAACTTTTGCCTAAATATATCCCTGACAAAACTGCTTTGTTTTTTGGTCTTTTTGATGCAATTGATAAGAACACGTTTGCAGAGCACACACAGTGTGCATAAAGCATCCTCAATTGTGCATGATGCCTATCTGCACATTATTAAAAGTAAGTCTTTCAGCCCTGGTTGCCTCACATGCTTCTACCCTTGTAAAAAGCTCTGCTATGCCGAGTGTCTCTAATCCCTCTTTGAATAACTCAGCATGACATAAAAAGAGCAAAATTCCTTAAGTCATTGTTAACCAATTCATGAATTCTACAGTTATTGTTCATTTCTTTTTCATTAAAACACTATTGTGTAAGATAAAGAAAAACCTTTCCAGTCAAAAGATTTGGTGAAATTCACGTAAACAAGGTCTTTACATGTCTGGCAGCTGTAACGTTTTGTTACCTGAAGCAAGCCTCTGATTTCCAACAGATTAACCAGCATAGTTTTTTTTTTCTTCAAAAATCTTTAATGCCTAAATGTATTTTTGATAGGCTTTGTCTCAACTCCTATTCCTGCTTAAAACCCCGAAATCCTCATTAAGAAGCCAGCCTTATAATACTTTCAATTGTACTCCCTTTCTTCATTTTATTCACCCCATAGTCTTCTTAGCAGGGTGCCTGTCTTCAGGAGTGCAGCTTATTTCTATCAAACCGAGACACTTTTGGATTAGTCGATATGAGCTTAGGGCTGATCAGCTCACAGAATATTGAACATACTGTGCTTCGCAACAGGAAGCAACCAGATTGTTAGCCAAGAATTAGCAGACAGCTTTACAATCCTCCCCCCTGAAAAAATCTTGATATCAAGGTAGACCTAAATGTGACCGCGGCATCATATGAGAAAATAAAAAAACAAAACAAAATGAATTAAAAACTACTCTTTGTTTCTGGCCACTATTCTCTACTGTGCCTAAAGCAAAGAAAAACAAAAGGGAGAGAGAATTTAAAGATAAGTCTTATTCTACGAGGATCACAAAACATTGCTGTTTTTTATTAAAGCCCAGCTCAATAGAATTCAGTATGTATAAATACATTAAAAAGACTTCAGGCTGCTCCAATTGAAACCGGAACACAGTTTCTTCAAAATGATGTAATACTGTATTAATAAATCAGGACATGGGCCTGTAGGAAGTAATGTCTTGGATGGTGCAAGAAACAAGGAGGGTATTGCTGTAATTTATGGATTAAACCACACAAGCTGTTAGGATATTGTTGCTGTGGCATTTACCTTTAGAAGATCTCTTTGCTTTTAAATCCCAGCACCTTAAAAAAATATACTTTTTTGTATTTTCAACTGGCATTTATTGTAGATCTTTCCAGGTTTTTATGTTAATAAGTCAGATTTACTCCTTTATTGGATTCTAGGAAACAAACAACAACAAAAAAATGCAAATGCTGATTTGCATTTAGCTGAAGATCTGATTTACTTGAAAAATTATTTAGGCCCAGAGGGGAAAAAAAAATGACCTGATAAGTTTTTTTCCTGACACCTGATGCATTTTTTTCTGATAACTGATTCAAATTAGAATGTTCTAAAATATACACTACAAAGCTTACCTTTGAGATAACACCAGCAACAAAAAAGATATCATCAAAGAGTCTAAAGAGTTTCTATTTTGCAAACGTAATGTAGAGGATACAGAAAACATGTAGGAGAAAGACATCGGTCAAATGATATAAAAAAGAAAAAAAAATCCTTTGTGCAAAAGGCTATTTGGTGAAGAACTACTGAACTTCATTCCAAATAAAGTCTTGGGTTCATCCAAGATAATGGCATCATGTGGTAAATTTCCTATTAAATAAAAACATGTGTAAGTCAACCTAATAAAGATTAGTACTCCTTTAACAGTTTATAATCCAGAAAATTCAAAGAACAATTGTACAGATATGTTTTGATCAAAAAGTCACAAAATATAAAGGAACATCTAAAAAATTTGAATAGTGTAAAAGTGCAATATGTTTCTCCAGTCATCTCAGAAAGCAAAGCTTGTGTTATAGTGATGCATTTTTAAGTATTAGCTTATTGCATTTTTGATTAGTCTGACCCAAAGGTAAAGAAAATCCAAAACTTAGAGTGTCAGAAATACGAATACTGTAAAAAAGTTCATTATTGGAAACTCTGGTGTCACACCAGGTCATTAACTCAAAACAGAGTTAATCGGCTCATTAACTCTAAGCACTTGAAAAGGTTTCCTAAGCCTTTAAACAGTCTTTTACCCTGGGTCACTCAGTTACAAAATCACAGAGAACACTGCTGACATGACATATGACAAGAAGACAGTCTTCACAGGAAGATACAGCAGATCATTCGTAAGGAAGCTGGTTGTTCACATATCCAAGCAGATTAAGAAAAAATAAATAAATAAGTTGAAGGAACAGCTACATTCACTCTGGAAACCAGCTGGGCAGTAACAAAAGTTGTAAATTTAAAAAACTTTGTATGGCACACCTTAAACAACACTTTCCACACAAATTAATGTCAACAGAGGCTTCTGGCTGTCATTGACAGTAATTAACTAAGAGCATTATTTCTTTATTTCCATCTTCTGTATGGGGACAACCCTACAAAACTGAGAGATCGTCCGTCTAAGCAGAGATTATTAGTTAAAGCAATTTTAATCTAACAAAGCATTGACATCAATATTAATGTCAATATTTTTTTCTATCTAAATATATGAAAAAATAAATGCCAAAATACTGACTGCTACTTTAAGTTAAAAAGTGCTGCCTTCTAAACAGCATGTCTACCACATTTGGTTTCACAGGCCATTTAATTGCTACCAAGAGGAGTCTGTAAAGGATTCTGTGTCACTAACAATAAGTCATCAGCAGAGCAGGGGATTGTCACAGTCATTTTTAATGAGACTGGCAGTCATCTATGCTTCTCTGTAGGCGAGTGCCTCCACTGATTGGCCTCTGATGAGGCAGCAGGGCAGTAGGTTGGCACACAAAATGTGATTTCTAGCTCTTTGGTGTGATACTGATTGGTCTTATGTCTCGATCAGCTTTTAAGGTTTAAGGGTTTTCAGAGGGAATATGAACAAGAAGATGTTAATTGTGGACAGAACCATTGTTGTCCTCATTTTCTCATTATCCCCTATAATTCAACCAACATTTTACTGTATTTAAAAGGGAAGAAAATAAATTTGAAGGGCTAAGAGGAAGCAAAAAAAATACTATTTACACCATCTTCCTTTTAATATACATGTCTTTTTCAAAAAAAAAAAAAAAAACATCTATTGGCATAGTGTAGAAAGTTACCTAAACAAAGAGAAAAACAAACAGCTAATTACAGTTGAAAGATAGATGGGCCTGAACAAAGGATTAGGATTTATTTGAATATGTGCCAAATGCCATGAAAAACTATTATACATGAAAAACCTTCATTGACAACACGTTACCATTCTGCTTTGTTATGTGTTCCTTTTGTTTGAGCAAAGAAGATTAGGCCTTTTTTCAGAACAGTATCTAAAAGGAAATGCTCAAAATCCTTTTTGCTGTTGTACCTTTTCCAAATTCAAACACTGCTTGTTGTTGCTTTCAAACCCTAAGGAATTCAGAATGATTTATACCCTTAATGCGGTGAAAATCAGAAACATTGTACTCACCACAGAACTCAAGTTATGCTCCTTCATCAAATCCAGGGAGTTTTTATAGCAGGAGGTAAGATCGTCTCTCTCCTTTTGGCTAACATGACCTCTTGCCACCGGGCCAACAGTGTGGATCACATCTGTTGGAAGAAGAGCAAATATCTTATTTAACCAATGTGTTCACATGAAGCATAAAGTGCTTTGGACCCTTCATTATCCAAGAGAAGGAAACATCAGGTGTATAAGTGAAAAAGCACATTTCTAATACAGTTTTATCACCAAAGCAGTTCCTAGCCAGGTTTTATTAAAACACACAGATAAAAAATGGTTTAACTTTCCATTAGTTAAGCACTGGAATTGGTTTGGTGTCAATTTTCAATTACATAAAAAATGCTGACAAATTTTCCTTTGGAAATATTTGTTATTAAAAGATTCGTTTATTCCCCTTTAGAAAAAACAAAACCCTTCTCAGGGTGTTTTTACACAGTAAACTCCTTTGGTCAGCTTGTTTGGTACAGACTATTCACAGATTTTTATTTTTGTTTATATTTTTGTTTGAAGAAGTTCACTTTCCCATCATATCTTTTTCAAGTGAACTATAACTTGTAACAAACTGTAAATTGGACGACCGTTGATCCCACAGTTATATCACCTGTCAATCAGTGGATGTGATGCAAACCCGACCAGACTGAGGAATGCTTTTTTTAAAATCAAATCACAGTAGTGGTGACAGGAAAATAAGATAGTTTAAAAGGTAATGATGGAAATGTAGCCTGGCAGTTTTGGCCTTCTTAGCATAAAACACAGCAGAAAGTTTTATTACCATGGTTTTTAAACAATATAAAAGAGTTTCACTTGCATCCAAATTTTCTACTCCCTTTTTGTATAAATTTGTTGCCATTTTGATAAAAATCACTTTGGGTTTTTCTGTCCTGTAAACAAACAAGCGGTCTACAAAACAAATGGTATCAGTTCCAAGTTAACATTTTCACAGTTTTGATGTGTAGTAATATCTGATATTGACAATCAACCTAACTGGATGTCTCCTACCTGTACTGTATATAAAATTTTTAAAGTCAGATATTGAAATTTTCTTCTTGTGGACAATCTTTAGAAAACAATAATACATATCAAGTAGGTACAAAAGTAACGCGGTCCCTACTAAATTACTATTATCCAGAACATGAGGAGCAAAACTGGAAAAGTACAAAAGGTACAAAAATTTGAGATAAATACCTGAGAGATAATGTATTTTATTTCATAAATCTGTATTTTATTTCTTTGTATCTTTTCAAATGCAATAAAAATTTATTTTAATTCAAAATGTAAAGTAGCATCCTAGAGCTGCACATTGGCGCAGTGGGTAGCACTGCTGCCTTGCAGCAAGAAGGTTTCACATTCGATTCCAGACCCGGGATCTTTCTGCATGAAGTTTTGCATGTTCTCCCTCTGCATGTGTGTGTTCTCTCCGGGTACTCTGGCTTCCTCCCACTGTCCAAAAATGTGACTGTTAGTTAATTGACTCATCTAAATTCTCCTTAGGTGTGATTATGTGTGTGAATGGTTGTTTGTCCTGTTTGCCTCTGTGTTGCCTTGAGATAGAGTGGCGACCTGTCCAGGGTTTACCCAGTTTCTCGCCCGTTAACAGCTGGAGATAGGCACCATCAGCCCTCGTGACCCCAGCAGGCATAAGCGTGATGGAAAGTAGATGGATGGAAAGAAGTAGCACCCTATATTACTTAATGGTACACATCAATTTATGAGGTATAACACATAAATGTGCTCTTATACACAATTCTTTTCATTTTAATACATGAAGATTTAAGTTTTTGCTACTAAAATATGAATTGCAACACAATTAAAATTGGGTTCAGGTTAGGATGTTTAACCCTAAAATCATCATATCTTGTTTGCTTGTTTATTTTGTACAAAATGATTTAACACCAAAACTATCGAGAATGTAAAAAATTCTACTACATAAACTACACATTGAATCCAGTTTTTTGTTTGTTTGTTTGTTTTTTATGGCCAATGAAGAAAAATAGTAGGGACCACTGAGTTGCATATGGGGTAACATTTTGTTTCTGCAAGAGGTAAAAACACAAGAATGGCTTGAGGCATTCCAAGATGAGTAGTTACGGGAATGGAGCTGCCAGTCTGGCTTTCTTTTTTTCTCACAATAGCAGGGGGAAAACTGACAACATTGTTATAATGGGACAAGTGGTAGGTTGTTTTCCTGCATATTTCATGTTCTTCTACCCTGAAAAAGGCAATATGGCAATTAGAGATTGGACAAGTGCCAAAAAACCAGACGACTGGGGAATTCATGAAAATTTAAACATCTCACCAGGTTGAAATCTCTTCATTGTTGTTTTTCTTAAGCCTTTTCACATGAAATAAATATTTATACAACTTAGTAACAAGGGAGAAAAACAAAAGAAAAGACCATTTCTGTAGGGCCAAACCAATAAAACTGTCAAAGGTTCTTTAGGATCTATTAAAAGGGCCAAAAGGAAGTGCATTTCCATGACAGTTTCCTAGTACACATCTGTGATGAGAACCACTTTAAAAAGTGTCTGGAGGGGTATTGAATTTTCTTATTATAAAAACAGTAATATGAACAGAAGTTATTTGGCACCATCAATGCTATATAATCAGAAAGAACACAATCAAATTAACTCTAAATCATGACAATGGTACATAGCTACATACAGACACAAAGAAAGCTACAGATACTGATCATAACATAAAACCATATAAGAAGACTGTATATGTTCATAGAGCTTTATTAAAAAAAATACATTTTATAAAGAATACTCTGTCTAGTAAAACATACCATTATGGCTTTTTACAGTTATGCTAAATGATTTGCACCCTTCTATTTTATCTTTCTTCTTTTCTTTTTTTGCTTTTTTCTCTTCATTCAGTTTTTAGATCAAACATTAGATTTTGATTTCATATCATTATAAGACAGTTAAATTAAAAAAAAAAGTTTTTTATTATTACATTTATTAACATTAAGAAAAGATTAAAATAGCCATCCTAGTACTCTAAAAAGTAACTGCTCGCAATTGTTGGTTTAAGTTTCAGTGACATCACTAATGACTGACGACTGTCTCATATACGTTGTTAGAGTGATAACTATTCTGTGTTTCAACCAGAAGGGTCATAAACTTTTATGAC